TTAACCTTTCCTCATAGGGAAAGTGTTCCAACCCTTTTCTGCACTTTTTCCAAAGCTATAATATCCTTTTCTTTTTTTTTGGTAAACAAATTTTTATTTTCTCAGGAATACAACATATAAAACATTTCATTCTATCAATTGTCTACCCCATTCCCAGTTCCTCCCCTCCCTCCAATGGCTTCCCACAATGCTTCCACCCCTGCTCCAAATTACTTCATATCATCAACAATATCAGTTTCTCATCATTACAATCTAAAGATAACATCGTTTGACTTAATATTGATCTAAACATATTAAGTTTTGTTTCACATCCCAGTTCTTTTCCAGATAAATTTTAAAATCATTCCATTCTCCAAAAAACTCATCGTCTTCTTTGTTATTCAGTTTTTTTGTAATCTTATCCATTTGTGCCATGAACAGAACTTTTTGTATCCATTCTTCAACCTCTGGTACCTTTTCCGTCTTCCAAAACTGAGCATAAATCATTCTCGCTGTCACTATCAGGTACCAGAGTAAAGTTTTTTTAGTCGTATTGACTTCTTCCATTTTGAGTCCCAAAAGCAGAATTTCCGGTGCTTTTTTAAAAGAACATTTCAGTATTTTTTGCATTTCATTGTGGACTTTTGTCCAAAAGTCTACAGCTTTCTCACAAGTCCACCACATATGATAAAATGAGCCCTCATGCCTCTTACATTTCCAACATTTGTTTGACATATTTTGATTCATATTTGCAATTTTCTTAGGTGTCATGTACCACCTATACATCATCTTATAACAATTTTCTTTAACATTAGTACATGTCGAGATCTTAATAGAGTTTTTCCACAAATATTCCCAAGTTTCCATATCCACTTCCTTATTCATATTAATAGCCCATTTTAACATTTGTTCTTTAACAGTTTCATCTTCAGTATACCATTTTAACAACACCTTATACATTTTAGAAATATTTTTTCCTCCTCCACTCTCCCAAACCTTTTCAATTTCATTTTTTTCCTCTCTAAAACCATAGTTTTTTTTGTCAGATCTAAAAAGATCATAAATCTGCATATATTTCAACCACTCATATTCATATTCAATTTCATTCTGCTTTTTCATTACCCACTCTGTTCCCTCTTTTTTAATTAAATCTCTATATGGCAACCAGTCTCTACCTCGCTGTCTTGAGTAAGATATCAACACTTCTACTGGTACAATCCACAATGGTCTTAAGTCACTCTGGTACTTCTTATATCTTGTCCATACCATATACAAAGCTTTTCTCACCAAGTGAAGTTTAAAAAAACTGTCCATTTTTATCTTGTCATACCATAAATATGCATGCCAGCCAAATCTACAATCATGCCCTTCCAACCCCAACAATCTGTCATTTTCAAGCTTCACCCATTGATCCATCCATGTTAGACAA